ATTTTTGCATATTAATTAGGAAAATTACCCATTTTAATCGATTTTTCAAACTTTTGCAATTTTCTCAAAAATAAAAGCGCGCTGGGACATTTTGATATTATTTCCTAAAACAACTTACCCAAAGTGTTGTTTTGGTACAATAAAAARAAATTCGATTTTTTGAAACTGATTTAAGATTCTCGACGCTTACAGACATACGCTCATAAAATGAAAAAATCGATTCCACTGTGCCTTACTCCCGAAACATCCGCAAACCCAAGGCGTGCAGAGTATGGACTTCGGACCTGACGGCGATTAAATCACTCTGCCCTTGGGTGTACGAATGACGCCGGCCCCAGACCTTATCTGCAACTGCAGCCTGAATCCCTTTCAACTCAGCTCCAGTCTTTTTCTTATTATGTAAATCAGGCATCAAGGCATCTAATATGAGAGGGTCTGGGCTCCACTGCAGGACTCGTGTTTTGAAAAATGGCGGCAACCCAGACAAATAATGCCATCACTTTGAAGGGAAGCACCGAAAATGTGACTGAATTTTTCGGTAAATTGAATCTCTCTAATGTTCGATTGATAACTATTGAAAGATATATCTGACATGTGCTTTTTTGTATGTATTTTCAGGCTTTGGGATCAACAGGTAAGGTTATTTGTCTTTAACACGAGAGGTAGTTGGTTGCAAAGCTTGAAATCGACAGCATACCCAAAAACCGATAAATGTTTTGACGATTGCATCGTATAAAGTCCTTCGATTTTGATGGAAGCCTTATAAGGATTTATAAATCTGTTTTATTATCTACGATATGTTTTTTGTCTGGCAATTGAATGAAGGTTAATATTCCTATGTAACAGCTCGCTTTGTCTGTGAAGGGGATGGCATGATAATATGTTTGTGTGACTATAAATCTATTGAGTAGTTTATATATAAGATTATCTTTTATATCTCTTCATATCTTTTACTCTGACGAAGAACCRACGTCCTAAACTTAAGTACAGTCCCTAACGTTTTTACACTGTGTTTAAGTTCCATTGTTATTCACTTGTTGAGTTTTTATAGAGTTATTGAAGGGAATCGCTGAATCTTATTTTCATGAATACACAAATGCGATTTATACCTAATTGCAAGAACATTGTATGCTAAAATAGAACATTTATACTTTAGTGGGGAAGGAATTCTATTAAAAGGCAAAAGGAGTTCAGCTCTAGTGATCTTCTATTGTCTTTAATTAATGCCTTTCCCAGTGAAGTAGAAATGTTCTATTTTCGTATGACAACGTTTTTGCAATTAGGTGTAACCTCCCAGCTAGCTTGAGATAATTATTGGATTTCACAAAGTTAATAAACATTTCTGTACATTATTTTGTTAAAGTCAAGGGCTGTAGAGCACCCTACTGTAAAAGCAGCAGCACTCATATTTCAAAAAAATTGATAGACTAGAATGCTCAAGTCAAACTAAACGTATTGTGGCTGAGATATATATAGGGTAGCATGGGTGGCACAGTGGTTTACCACTCGCCTCTCACTGCTTTGGTCTGGGTTCGAGCCCGGCAGCTCAGACTGGATCATATGTGAGATGAGTTTGTTTGATGTGTTGTTCTMTCCCTTGCCATGAGGGTTTTTTTCCTGGTTCTCCAGTTTCCTCTCTACATATAAATTGACATGTGTGAGACTGTCATATGTTGTAAATGTAGAATGTAGTGGGTGTGGAGGGAACCTCACGGAATAGCCCCATACATGGTGTGGTGTTTGTAAAATATATTAAGTTTTTCTTAAGATTCAACAAAAAGTGGGAACTATAACCCCTGCAGCCCCTCGAGCCTTACCTGCAGTCCCTGAAAGTTGATGCAAAAATAAAATGATCAAATCTTTGTTTTTCAGTATTCTCTATCAGCGTGGTGTTTACCCAGCAGAAAACTTCAAGCGTGTAGAGCAATATGGCTTGACATTGTTTGTCACAGATGAGCCCCTTTTGAAAGAATATATAACAAATGTCCTCAAACAAGTTAAAGGTAAAACACTCAACCTAATTGTCATTACATAATAAAAAAAATATTTATATAATATAATTATGTATTAATACCCCTGAAATAACCTTTGGGCTGATCAAAAACTACTGTAGGCATGACTAATTTTTATTTACAAATTGAACTGAAATTTAGTTAGTTTTGTGGAGGGATGAAAATTTTTGGATCCAGAAAGAAAATCTTGATTCATGGAATGACCTAGGACGAACTCTACTCACATGTGATGCCGAGTGCAGGAATCAAACCCTAGACCACTTAGGTGAAAGGCGAGTGCATTACTGCTACTATACACCACCCTATTCCCTACATAATGTACATGACTGTACACTATCAATAAATAACAATCTGATCTACCAGTCGTCATTATTCCAAAAAAGCAAATACARCTTTCCAGAGTAATTCTGCTTATAGCAACCTAGTGCATTGCATTGGTGGTCATTTAATTTTCTTTGGTACTTCAAGCGCTTGTCTTTTTTCTCACAGATTGGCTACAAAATAAGACAATTCAGAGAATTGTTCTTGTCATTAGTAATGTTGATACAGCGGAAGTCCTTGAGAGATGGCAGTTTGATATTGAATGTGACAAAGCCATGACAGAGGACAGGTAAATATATTGATAAAACAAATCGTTTTAGTCAAATCCAACTAGTGTTCTATAATCAATGCTGTATTCTGATTGAAAGAGCTACTACTAGGGTATAAGTTATAGCCCACTAGTAGCGAAAAGTGCTGGCTTTGAAAGCCAAAACATTAAATTTGACTTTATTTTTTAACTTTTTTATTTCTATACTGTATATTTGACCAAATATTTGGATTTGACTGAAACGATTATTCCTCTTACACTCATAGCCCATTTGGGCTGGAGGGGTTTTTGCTAATGAGTAAATAAGTAAACTCTTTATTTTACGATAACATCCAATTCTCCTTCACTGTTTGGCTATTTTTATCATTAATAAGAGGACACTAAAAAGGTGATGTCAACCAGACTGCACTCTTTCTGTTGGTTGAGTTTTGATCACTTAAAATGAAAAGTGTTTATTTTTGTTATTATAAAAAAGAAATTGACATCAGTTTTGTATATGTCTGTCCTCTTACTTACGATATATTTCATCATCATATTGTCAAAGAAGGCTACGCCTCGTTGATCCACACTACTTTGACAATGTAATGATGCAATTTATCGTCAATAAAAGGATAGACACATAAATAACTGATGATGTCTATTTGTTAATAATTTGCTGTCCTTAATACTCCAGTTTCAAATTCTCTGTTGCTCAGGATTAGCATAACCTTTATTTTGTGTAGAATATTCATACGTTCCTGTACATGTGAAGGTCCAAGGAATGGAGTGTTAACTTTGTATGTTTGAAGTTGTGCATTCTTTCCTTTACTGATGATTGATTGAGAATATTTGGCCCTGAGCAAATGGGTCTGTAATCAAGGAATGCCAGCAGTATTTTTGAATACAGAAATGGTCTATTTGTCTATCTTAGGGTTGGTTAAAAATTAGAACATTAATTGGTATGTGTTGTTTACTCCCTAGTAAACCAAGAGAGAAGTCTTTGAAAGAAGTAAAAAAAGAAATTCGTGATGTCATGCGTCAAATCACAGCCAGTGTCACCTTTCTTCCATTATTGGATGGCCCTTGTATGTACTACAATCATGTTTTGATTTCTGACTGACACACCAAATAAAAATATGGCAACTACAATAATTACAATAACTATTGCTCTGCATTGACTAGTGACTGACTAGCCTCATGTTCACATGGAAATATAAAAAGCGTTTTCACATGTATGAGGGTCTGTAGTCAGTCGCTAGTTAGAACAATAGTTATTGAAATTGGTGGGTGATATAAAAGGCAGTATAAAAGGAATTTATAGAAACACAAAGTTTCATCCCCTGGTTTTGGAGAGTTATGTTCATCACAAACGTTTTACATTGTAGTGCATTTTACATACTGTGGCCACCCAAGTAACCTAAAAAATCTCATTCTATTCCCTTTTTGCTTTCCATTTCCCTTATATAGTTTATATACATTCTCAAAAAAAAAAGGATTTGATAGTTTAAAAACAATTTTATTTTTGATTCTGTGTGAATAGAGGCTAACCTTTTTCCTCACACTGCTGGGAAAAGTCAGTACTCTGCTAGCAGGCAAATTTTTTCAAATCAGAGTGCACAATTGCATAGCACCTTAAAACTCGCAGGAAGCATGGATTGCTTAGCAGTGAGAGAAGTACACTCTCCTGCCTCAAAGGTGACCTTGGTTTGATTCCTTGGTATGTGAGTAGAGTTGTTCGTTGGTTCTCTCCTCTGCTTCAAGTTTTTTTTCTCTGGGTTCATTGGTTTTTCCTCCCTCTAAAAAAATCAACTTCTAAATTCCAATACTCCTTTTTACAGTTCCATTCAGTCACCACAAATAATAGTTCCTAGCCAAAGCTGGAGTTTCTGTGCATAGCAAAACTACAGTTTATCATGCGGGGCAACTCCAGCCTCAGCTAGGAACTATTATTCATGGTCACTGAATGTAACCATAAAATGGAGTATTAGAATTTAGTCGAGGAAGACTTACTCTGTAGAAATACCACCATTAATTTATTTTTATTCATTTTTATTTATTTATATTGTCTTTCTTTTCAGGTGYTTTCGATCTTCTTGTTTATACTGACAAAGACCTCAATGTCCCAGAAATGTGGGAGGAATCTGGACCTCGTATCATTAGTAACTCCGAGGAGGTTCGCCTTCGTTCTTTCAGTACTACAATCCACAAGGTTGACACAATGGTGTCCTACAAAAGCGAAGATTAAAATGCTTGGTAAATAGCAATGATAGTGAAAGAAATAAAGAATGAATATTGCTTCTCAAATTAAGTAACAGCCCTTAAAGAACTCTGTTAAGTGGAACAGCATAAGTAATGCGTGAAAATGTTTTTTTTTTAAGGTCATATTTGAGGCAAAGTCCAATGACACATTTAGCTCTTATACTATCTCATTTCTCCCAAATCTCATGATTCGGAATTGTTTAATACTAGAAGTAAATATATAATAATCTTTTCAGAAGATGAACTTTTCATGTGCAAATATATAAGTTTGAATTTTTTTTTTTTTTTTTTTTTTTTTGTTGCTCACTGTAATAAGATCACAGAAAATTGTCCAGCATATGTTCGATTCCTTTAGTACATGTACGCCTCACAACAGTAAAAAGTTAAACAGCTTTGAGGAAAATGCTTTCTAGAGTCAAAACTCATAACTGGGAATCTTTTTGTTGGTCAAATACTTATAAAATTGATAGGTGAGGGTTATGTTATGTAGATTCATGATTTATATATTTGAAAATAGAACTTGTTTTGCTAGTAATGTTTTTGGTGTTTCATCTCCAAACTGCAGAGTACAATTGGCATAAATAACGAGGTTTCCACATCAAATATTACCAGATAGCAATGCATTACTGTGTAAATATAGGTTATAATTATTTTTCTCTCTTAAAATTTCAAGAAATCGTTAGAATAAAAGCAAAAAAAAAGACTGACCTATTAATATATCGGATGGCGTTTTACGTGTTTTGCTGACGGGGTTTATCGCGTTAATACAGAAAACATGAATCGTTTAATGACATCAGGGGGGGGGGGGGGGGGGTTGGGGGGGGGGGGGGGGGGGGGGGGGGTGTTGACTGGGGGGTCTGTGAATCCGAGGGCATTTCAATCGACTGCTACAATTAACTTTAGAACTAGGACCGCAGACCTACAAAGCTTTGCACTAATTTGTTTAATTTTGTTAACGTTTTCACGGATATGAGGGTATGCAATCTATCAGTGTGATAAACGCTTGAATTATATACCATATCAGTGAAATATAGGATGTCACTTCACGGTGAACTGGAAACTGTGCGCTTTGTTATTGTATCGACCTTAAATGCGTAATAAACAAATCATCACATAATACTTAGAGACTGATCTTTTTATTCACTCGTTTTCCATATCATATCGCTTACTCGCCCACGGACTCGCTTGTTTGCGATATGCTATGGAAGCTCTCTTACAGTAAACTGGTTAATTTTTCACTGCTCAGTTAAATTTCAAGAAGGATGAGATTATCTTCATCCACCAACACCATTCTCTTTTATTCCGACGAAGAACTAACCTCCGCTTTGGGCTCAGTTGTACAAAGGTTGATAATGCTATCCGAACGATAAATCTTATCCAGTGGATATATTTATTGGATAATAACCGCATCGAATTATCCACTGGAAGGATTTATCCATCGGATAGCGCTATCCAGCCGGTGTAATTTATTTCGAGAGAAATTATACCGGCTACAGTGGCGGATCCAGAATTTTTCAAAGGGGGTTCCGTTTCTTAAACTGTGTATAATTCTCTTTTGTTTAGTCGATGTTTGACAAAAAATTGGCTCTAATCACCTAATTTACTATCTAGTAACAGAACTTAAAGGTAAATTAAACTTTATAACAGCACTGAATATCAAAACTACTAATATTTTTTTAATTAAAATTTATATAAGACATTTCTATTACCTAAAAGATCAAACCTTCAAGGGGGGTTCCGTGGACCCCTTCGACCCCCCCTGGATCCGCCACTGGGTTGAACGCAGGCTATATCCACCCTTCGTACCTTCGTACTCGGTAAAAACGTTAATTTTCACTTTTTTAACTTTTCCAAACAATAAGTGTTCAATAGAGATTAATGATACATTCTGATTTAATCCGATTTTCACGACTTTTTGATTAAGCTTGAATAAGGAAATAAGTTCAAAACTCGTGAAGATATGATTCTTGAAAAGTTTGAACTTCGTACGAAAACCTTTGCAGGAGACAAGAGATGCCTCCAACAAATGTTTCCATAAAAAAATCATATTTTCGCAAGCTTTGAGCCGTTACTTCTGTCGGACCATAATTAGCCTTCTATTATCCCCTTTATTAACTTTATGTTTAAAATGCGGGCAGCTTTACTAATTTTCCAGCTATATAGTAAGTTCTTAAAACAAACCACAGTGTAATTTTTCGCATGTTGAGTCATTTGTCAGAATCACTATACAAAAAAAGCCTACGACAGTGGCGGATCCAGGGGGGTTCGAAGGGTTCCACGGAACCCCCTTGAAGGTTTGATCTTTTAGGTAATGCAAATATGTCTTATATAAATTTTGCTTAAAAGTATCCACAAGGATAATGTTGAACACGAAATGACAAATATTTGCTGTTATAATGTTTAATTTACCTTTAAGTTCCGTTACTAGATAGTAAATTAGGTGATTAGAGCCAATTTTTTTGTCAAACATCGACTAAACAAAAGAGAATTATACACAGTTTAAGAAACGGAACCCCCCTTTGAAAAATCCTGGATCCGCCAATGTACGACGACTTCATCCTGAATTCAGTATTGTTAAATTTATAAACATGAGATGACAGTCACAGCAGATAGTTTTTGCGAAAATGAAAATCCCCCGCCCGAAAGAAGTTTTACGTGGCTCGCCTCATATTATAAAATTCTGCGACTCATGGATTTTTTTTGTTCTCGCTATAAACTTCAAAGTAAGTATTATCAACTAATATTAAGTACAGACTTTATCGCTATTATTTGTAGGCACTATTTTTCCGATTATAGGTTGATATAGACATTTCCGCTCTGTGCAGTGACTGTCATTTATCAGCCTACGGCTTGTTATGACACTTTTAAAACAAAATAAGGTCATTTGCTGTGTAGTTTGATTTATCAAGTTATAACATGATTATCTGCCCTGTTCGTTATGTTTAAACTTCCCTTGGGGAACTTGAATTGTTAAGAAGTTTCAGATCACCTTGATCTACAAAACGAGAGGATAAAAATAACTCATTTATCACCTTGTTGTCGTAGTTCGAAGAGGATATAAATAGCTGTTATATTGTAGCCCAAGTAAGTAGCTCAGTTCATACTGCCGACGAACGCCCTGAACATTTTGAAGACTTTCCTGAAGGAATAAGCCCGAGCAACTCTTTTTTTCTTTTTTTGCCATCAATTGTAAGTATGGTCTCTTGTTCAGTAATCCTCCTTCGTTCTTCATTTTTATTATTATTTTTGCATGCTTCCTTTTCTGGTTTTTCAGTCCTTACTTCTATTTCTTCTTCTTCTTCTTCTTCTTCTTCTTCTTCTTCTTCTTCTTCTTCTTTAGTGAATATTCTCCTTTTTTTCTTGTTCCTATATATATCATTCGTTTTCTTCTTCGTGTCCTTGTTCTTTCTTCCTATTCGTGTGTGTTGCATATCTTCTGCTGCCTTTTCTCCTTCCTCTTCAGTACTGTTCCTATTTCTTCGTTCGTCTTCTTGTTTCACTTTCTTAATTCTTGATCCGACCTAGCTTCTTCTTCTGCATGGTTCCTATCTCCTTCTTTGTCTCGTTTTCTTCGTTTGTCTTCTTCTTCTTCTTAATTCACTTCTTGGTCCGACCTAGCTTCATTTTTCTTTAAAATTTTCACTTCTACGTCTTAAGTCTTCTTCAGTTGTCGTTATCATGTTCTTCTTCGATCGTCATCCTCTTTTAGTTTTGTTTTTTATCATCTTCTGCCATCTAATTCAGTCGATGTTCTTCTTCTTCTTCTTCTCTAATCTATTTTAACCCTTGGCTGTTGTATCACAGCATGAGACAATCACAACAGAGCTAGGCTCCAAAGTAGGTGAAAACCCAAAGTTCGAATTACAAATTTAGGAGTTGGTTTTTATGAAGGGAGAAAACGGCTCTATTCGCAACTTGCGCGTGTGCAACGCTTTCCTGGTTTGAGACAAAACCGGATATGTCAACTGGAATATGGAAGAGCTGCGCTCTGCCGATAGGTCATTTGCGACAGTGACTGCAGCTTGCAGGATAGATGTTACCCTGCAGCTTGCTTCGCAACGTTGCAAAAAGTAGAAGCTCGTTGAACTTTTACTAGATCTTGCAGCGTTGCATCGTTAATTGCATATGTGTTTGCTACTGTTTGCATTTAGGTCAACACCATGAATTTCAAGTTCCTGTTGCTTTTATGTCTTATCTTTGTGATCTTGATGCCTGATGCCCAGGCCTGGAGACGTCGACGACGACGCCGCCGTGTGCCATCTCCCCCACCTCCCCCATCTCGCAGTTGCCACGTGAAATGTTTCAAGTTTTGCCACCACGGAAAGCGCGATGCACCTGAAGATGAGCCAGAAATCTCATACAAAGATCTTGGGCCAAATAGAAAATGAAAGAAAATCAGTCAAGCTCAGGTGATAAACAGTTAAGCAGCACCCAAGCATCTATAATGAAAAAATGTGCAGTTTAAGATCCTATAGAATTCATTAAAGCATATTCAACAATCAATTCAGAGTAGTTGTTACCCTATTGACATGGACTCAATCTGTAAAACAAGGACTGGACTGGACTGAGAAAAATCTGTAAAACATGAACTGGACTCGAAATCTGTAAAACATGGACTCAAAATAATAAGCTTAAATAACCGGAAATGACTCAACGACTTCAGCTTATTATCTGTAAGCTTGAAGTCTTTTTTGTCACACACCCACAGGGAGCCCGGCTTAGTGATGCTAAATCGGTAAAACGATCACGTTTCATATGTTGATGGCATTACATAATAATCGTAACTCAATACACCCCTATTACAAACGGTCACTACGTAATAGAACTTCGCTACGTATTTGAATTTATCACGGTATTAAGTTACGCGTTACAAACACTGGTGTTCTATTACGTAGTGACCGTTTGTAATAGGGGTGTATTGAGTTACGATAGCATCACTAAGCCGGGCTCCCTGTGACACACCATGATTATATTATAAACCACAGGCAGCCCAAACAAGGTTCCTGTGTATGGTTTATAAGGGAATGTATGGGAGTTATGATAAAGTTACGAAAATAAAATGTTTCACTCAACAATTTGCCTCAAAACTCGTTTCAGTCGTTGCTTTTACTTTGTTCAGTCTTCTGGCGAAGTTTCAGCGCGATTTGAGGCCGTTTAGTGGTTTTTTTTCAAAATCCGCTCTTCTCTACCTAATTAGGTTCTCTGATTATTCTGAGACCACAACAGAATAGTACAGCGTATGCTTTTGGGATAACGTTGTTGATACGCGTACGTGATTGTCTCAGTTCGCACTGAACGTCAATAAACTAAATCCAACAGAAAATTAACTAAAAATAATTAGTTCATATTCACTTGCTAAATCTCTATCCTCCTTCCCTAATCCTTCCTGGTCTTGAAATTCCCTGTTATTTTAAAGATCCCCTCACCTACCCCTCCCATTACAAAATTACTTGTAGTCTCCAACTACATAAATAGTCGAGCCTTCGTACACATTGACTCCAACATACGTATTTATTAGCTCCAGCTTGACRATTGTTCGACAATTACACGGAAGATTGTACGATTCGCTACAACAAACAACTTATAATTAATAAACTTCACAAAAAGGGGCAAATTAAAAAGGAAAAAGAAAAAAAAAGAAAACTACTTACAAGTTAATGATGCACGCTCGACTGATTCTTGATGTTAAATATTTATGGCGCCTGCGGGGCCTCTAGTCTGCGGAAATTCTTAATCTTACATTACTTGTCATTGAATATTCTCGTCCCAGACCCTACTCATCCATATCAAAAGGTTTCAAAGGGACTGGTAACCACAAGTATTTCGCAACAACATGGCGGACGCATGGTGGTGAAAGAGAAGGTTAACGTGGAAAAATATTGCAATATCTTATCCAACGGCGTATAACTTTTATTCCTGGACTTATCATAAGTCAAACAGAAAAAAAATTCTGCTAGCTGTGTCAAGTAATTCTCGGAATTTAAGTGTTTTTGTCGAGAAAATGTCTGATAAACGGTTTGCACGTGTGGCGAACGATCCACGCTTCAAGGTAAACTTTACTTATTTAGACCAAAACACTCGTTAAATTTATTACGAGATATCGTTTAATTTCATTTTTTTAAAAACAAATAATACTAATAGCTAGTAGCTAATGTATTATACATCAATTAAGCTTAATTTAACTAGAGTAAAAAGCTCAACTAAAGTTAAGCTTAAATATTTTGAGAAATATTATTACGTTATCGAGTTAGAAGAACTTCGTGAACATGCAGAATATTTCTTATCACACAGAGAGTCGACCGAAAGCGAAGGAAGGTCAAAATAGATTCCAGATTTGAGCGAATGTTCAATGACAAAACTTTTACAACAAAACGTAAGTTCGTAATACCTTGGGCTGTCTGTGGTATGTCTTTTCAGTCATCAGTAGATCTGCCTCGCGTATCAAAGTAAAATATATGGTCATATAACTTATAACAGAATTAGATTTCATGTGTCTGTAATGGCATGGTCTGAAAGAGTCTAAGGGCTGATCAAAGTAAGCTGGCATAGCTAATTTTAACTTGCAGATTGACTGGTTTCACCCTCCTTGACAGCCATCATTTAGGCTGATTTTTAATACAGGACAAGCCATCATGAAAAATACAGAGTCTAAAGGTGTTAACTTGCAGACATGGCTAATTTTTTCACGGTTTACGGATGTTCAAATAGATCAAATAGGGATAAACAAGGTTGTTACTGCTTACCTTCAGTTTGGTGAAAAATATTTTTTCAAACTTTAACAATGAGATTTATGATATATGAAAAATGGTGAGAAATGTTGGTTAGCAAAAAACCAAAGTGTGCAGCTTACAGCTACTGAGTTCACATCTTTATGAAAATTAGCAGTAAGTCAAAATAACATTTATAGATATTTCCTTTTAGACTTTGTTGACAAGCGAGGTGCTATAATAGGGAAAACATCGAAAGAAGACTTACAGCAGTTTTATGATCTTTCTGATGATGACAAAGAGGAATCACAAGCCAATAAGCTTAGGTAAGAAATTTTTAGTGTAAATACATGGGCTACAGAAATTTAGAAAGAATATTATGTAAACTTGGTACAGCTGTAGTTGTTTCTCTGCTGGCAGAAGCTTCTTTTTCTCTCCTTTGTTTTGGGGAGAGAATAAAATTATTTGATCTAATGGCTGTCCATGGTTGTGTACGAAAAAACTGGTCTTGAATCCATTTTATTTATTGATCACCTCTACGCATGACAACCACAAAGTCTGCTGTAAGATTATTGAGCCCACAATACTAGTGAGCATATCTTTTTACGATAACTGCTGACTATTAGTGAGCCCACTATTTCCACTCTTATCAGTTGCCTAGTAACACTCACACATGCACAACAGAAAAGGTGATGGTTGGGGACAGAGTCTGCTTTTTCTTGTGAATGCTAATCCAGCAAAAGAAAAAGAAAAGGAGACTCTGTCGGCAGGGAAAGTTGTTGTAAGCTGCCCATGATTTTTTAAACTGGTGTCAGTCAAAAGCTGATTTTTGATAGGAGTGAAAAACAAATTTTGGCAGGCATCTTGAAAAGTTCTACCAAATTTGCATAATATAGAAAACTGTTAAAAACAGTAAAAGACCACATTCTCTTACTATCCTGGTTGAGTGTAGTCCAGCACTGGACCTACTTTTCATGATTCTGTTTATAATTTTACATGCACAATCCTAGTTTAGTACAAAATTTTGTATACTTTTATATACTTGTAAAGTTTTCCATTCATCTTTGCTCACCTGCACACTTTAATTTGGATCAGAACAAAGACGAAAAGAAATAAAATAGGGTCCAGTACTGGGCTAGGTTGAGTGGTACTGTATGTTCTACTATAACATACCTTAAAAAACAATGTAGAATCTCTTCTGTTTTTCTTTTGTCAATAGCGACCTTTAGATACGACGACAAGTATGAGATCGAGTAAGAGTTTTAAAATTGGTCTTGTGCACGTGGTTGATTTCCGATTTTTCACAATCTAAAGTTTCAATCTGCGTACACGATCACGACTACATAAAGATGGTGCCTCTCTTTAAAAGTTAAACCCTCGTACTTGTACTCATTCTCTTACTCATTGTCGCATCTAAAGGTCTCTTATGACTAAAGTACAACATTCATTTTTCAACTTTTAATGATTCCAAATGTTGTATTCCTTGATTGCTGACTTATTTATTCAGGGTTGGCCTTATTTTAACAAGACTTCAAATATTCAAAATTGTCAAATGGTAAAGCATTACAAACATTTTAAAATTCCACAGACCTTAATTAGAAAACATGAATATATTATATTAAAAAATGAGGCTTACCCTGAATAACAGAGATTGCACAACTGGAGTAATGTTGAATTATAAATTCCTTAGTTGAAATGATTTAGGGAATATACTGTAAATAGCTAGTTTAAAAATGTGTAGTTCCAGAAAATATCCGTATCCCACCCACGGAGGAAATTGGAAATTCTGGAGAGGAGGGGGTCAGAGAAAGAAAGAAAAAACAGAGTTTGTATGGAAGAAAACTGGAAGTTCCTGGGGGTAGGGGGGCCCTTTTAAGAAGGACATATCCCTCCGTGGTAGGGGTATCGATACTTTCTGGAACTACACAATGGCCTCTTTGTGTAAACATGGTATAACAATAAATTCACAGGGATTCAAAGAAGAAATTAATATCAAAAACTAAAAAACAAGGCCCAAAATTAGGAAAGAAGACAAGGACTAAAAAAGGACAATTATCATCATTGAATACTTCACTTGAAGAAGATATTGACAATAACAAAAAAATAAGCAACACTGATTTTCAAAACCAAAGAACTATGGAATCTAGTGATGATGAAGATGAGACAAGTGGGGAAGATGAAGAAAGTGGAAATAAAGCAGCAGTTGATTTAGCAAGAGGTGAAGGAAATATAGCATCATCATCATCTGATGATGAAGATGATGATGAGGATGGAAATGATATTCACAAAGCGGAAAGCAGTAACTATAAACAAGATGCTTTACAAGACAATGTTGACAAGAGTCACAGTTATGATACAGATACAGATGACGAAGATGATTTTCAGGTGAGGAACATTTCTTGAAAAAAAAGGTCAGGGCAAAAGTGGAAAAAGGCTAGGAAATAGGCAATGACACATTAAAATAAACATTGTTCATGGTTTCCATGACCTATGTCATAATTCCCTTGGGTTTTATCTGTTTTGTTTACCAGCAATTGCTTAGGAAAATATACATATAATATTATCTTGAATAAGCCCCCCATTAATAAGTGCTGCATAAGATAGCAAAAATATCGCTGTCCTTGAATTATTCATTTATTCATGATCATAATGTAACTATTTTCATGACAATTTTCAGAAGATGTATACTTTAATTGGAATTTCATTGATACAAATTAAACATGCTATGGGCTTTCGAAGGAAAGGGCCCAAATGCTTCCTGTGTATACTTAATTAAATTACCGGTAGACTGCTTTTTAACATAAAAAACAGTCTAATTTAATATTCTCACTCTAGGATGATGAATTAGAACACCAATGGGCAGAGCTTGATAGCAATATTCATAGAAGTAGTAATGTAACAAGCAGACTTGCTGTGTGTAACTTGGACTGGGATAAAATCACAGCCACAGACCTGTTTGGTAGGTGGACATCAAATATACCTTTAAATGAATATAATACATTATGCTTGCCTGCCTGCCTGCCTGCCTGCCTGCCTTATTCCTTGTATCAATTACTCTGTTACTACATAAAGTTCAAAGTCAATCCTGCTATTTCTTTCTTTGATTTTGCAGTTCTCTTTAGTTCAATCAAAGGTGTAGTTAAATCAGTCAAGGTAATGGTCTTATTTTGTTTATAAATGATTGCTGATATCAGAAGGGTCTTAACTACAGTACTAACTACAGTAGCTATCTACAATAGCTAATTTGAGAAAAACCCAAACAGCCCCCCAGTTGGCTCTCAGTTGGCCGAGTAGGTTGGGCATTAGACTTCTGTGCGGGAGGTAGTGGGTTCAAGTTTTGGCTGGACCAACTCAGGGTCTTGAAATATTTGAGTTGAAGGTGATGCCTTTGTTCTAAACATATCTATGAATTGACGTGGCTCGGATAACTAAATAGTGGTCCTGTCTCATCTTGAATGTTGTTGAAAACAAATAGAGTGTGATGACAAATTTAACTTTATATAGTTTGGCACCCACAGTAAATAACTTGTATATTGATATACACTAATATGTACATGTATGTACTGTAGTTACTAGTGATTCGTTCATATTTTTGTTAGATTTACCCATCAGAATATGGTTTAGAGAGATTGAAAAATGAAGAATGCTATGGTCCAGAAGAACTAAGAGAACAAGAAGATGTTATTGATGATAATAATGTTGAGGTGAGAGATTTTTATAGCTTACCTTTAGGATTTCATCTTATATAAATAACATATTCATATTATATAAATAAAAAATAAAAAATAAACTTTTTCAGACTAGTTTGCATGGTATTATAATATTGTAATTAGTATAATTTTAGACTTGAATATAGAGTTTAGTACGCTGTGATTGGTTGAGCGAACAGTGATTCCTAGACGATAATCACTGCTTGAGAGTTGATTATGAAATTTCCCAAAGTTTGCCATAGTGGAAGTAAGGCTAAGACATTTTTATCCTGAATTTTGTCTTTTCTCTGATATTCAAGTCTAAAATTAGACTAAAAGAATTATTCACATTAGACTCAGTGGCTTGGTAAATATTCCCCAATATTCACTTAGCAGTCAGCAAATGATTGTTATATATATTCATGTTCTCTGTTGCAATTACTTCGTAGGGATCAAGTTTTTCAAGGGAAAAGCTACGTCAATATCAGATCAATCGCCTCAAGTATTACTATGCAGTAGTGGAATGCGACTCTGCAGGTAATAGGAAAACTGTAATATTAGACAATTTAGAAGTTCTTCATATTTCTTCCATATTTTTGTTTTGTCATTCATCTCTCCTCTCTTTTTCTTTTTTTCCTTTCCTTCCTCTATTATAGTGTTATGAATGTTGCAGGGATCTTCATAAAAACCTGTCTGCCATTCTTAGTGTTCATCTGATGCCCCATACTGTGTGGTGGCCTGGTTCACACAAACAACCCAATTACAAACACAAATGCAGGCACAAATGCAAACAATATTACGTGTAAACTACAGCAATGCAAAGAATGGAAACTTTTTTATTTTCTTGTGCTTTCATTTGAGTTTTTAACGTTTGAACATTTTTATGTTTGTGCAAAKGAAAACACACATCCAAAACGGTTTTTGATGTAAACAAGCACTGCACATGCATACCTTTTGCTTACATTTGCATTACTCAGGCTTTATTATAGGCATGCCCTGTCTTTAAAAATGATGAATTCTAATTTCCCCCCAGAAACAAGTAACCATGTATATGAAGAGTTTGATGGTGCAGAGTTTGAATTGAGTGGTAATCTTATGGACCTCAGGTTCATACCTGATGACATGGAGTTTGAACATGAACCAACATCTGTTGCAACTGAAATGCCAACACTGGCAACTTACAAACCACCAGAGTGAGTACACAGGGTATTAGTATTACCAGAGACTTGAATAGTACCTTTTCTCATTTGGTAAATCCCACTGTTTTATTACTGAAGACTCATCTGCACAGGCTTTGTCTCGCTTAAGAGAAATTCAGAGTGTGCAGCTTGATCAATACCAATGTTTTGCATCCCAAGGCTTTCAATGTTATCTGTAAATAGCTGACTTATAAACGAGGCTGAGCCTGTGCAAATGAGTGTATGGTCTTCAAAAGTAGCAGTATGCATCGAATGTGAAACAGGCGTATTCTCTGTTGCTCAGTGGTAACCTTGATTTTGTATAGGATATTATTGTGTTCCAATTATCAAAGTGTTTGTGTTGTAGAATTTTTGCATTCTTTATTTAACCATTGTGTTCTGAAGCTGGAATGAGGCTAACTCTGAGTAGAGAGAATAAGAAAAAAATATCAAATGCCCTTGACGGGAATCGAACCCACGTCTTCGGTATTCCAGTCTGACAGTCGCACCCGTGGAGTACCGAAGACGTGGGTTTGATTCCTGCCGAGGGCATTTGATATTTTTCTCTTATTCTCATTATTTCATTACACACACGGAATGCATAATTTATCACTACTAACTCTGAGTAAATAAGTCTATAATCAAGGAACACAGGCGTATTTTATAAATTAGGAAAAAAATTTCATAATTAGTGCAACCATTTTTAGCGCCACCATTGGAGATAAAGGCAATACATATTGCAACCCAGAATTGGTTGCCAAAGATCATCAATCAAAGTAAAGCAAGTGTTTTCCCATCATCAATATGGGGCACCACCTCCCAACCCCCAAGGGCAGATCCAGGGGTTGGATTGAGTTACTAGTCACCTCCTTTGGAGTTGAAAAATAATGAGAATAAATGATAAGGTTAAACCGATAAGGATGCCATGTGATGCCTTTCTAGGTAATGGCCACCCCCCTGAAGTCGTTCTGGATCTGCCACTGCCTCTCCACCACCCCCCCCCCCCAAGAAAGCAACTACTGTACCAACCTGTAACAGTTTGATCCTGTTACAGGGGTTAGATTGGGTTACTAGTCACTCCCATTGAAGTTGAAAAATAGTGAGAATAGAGGTGAAGGTTAAACCAATAAGGATGCCATGTGATGCCTTTCTAGGTAAGGCCATCCCCTGAAATCGTTCTGGATCTGTCTCTGCCTCCCCCCAAAGAAAACAACTACAGTGTACTGTATCAACCTGTATGGTTTGATCCTGAATAAGCCTGAAGCGAGATGACGTTTTACCCCCCTCTCTAGACCATAATTCTTTTCACTCTGCTTTTGTTCTTTAATTATGTCTATTGTTCCTGTATTCTCTTAGGAATCATATGAAAGAATTTTAAAAACTATTATGGTATAGAGTCGGGGGTAAAACGTCATCTCGATTCAGGCTCATTACATATTTAGCCACAATTAAAAAGCAAATGCAATTTTTTTACTATAAACATCCATTGCTTCATCCAAAGATTTGAGACAACAGCACTGCACCAAACCAATGTGAAACTGACATGGGATGAGACTGACTCGAATAGACTTAAGGCCACCATGAAGTCGTTTAGTAAAGATGATATTCAAGAGATGGACTTCCAGGCTTATTTGGCTTCCTCTGACGACGAGGGGGAAGAATTTCCGGGTGTTGTTGGTGACGAAGATGAAGATAGCCATTCTGAAGATGAAGAAGAAAAGATTGCAAAATACAAGGTAGAGAAAGTGGATGGATGAAAGGATGGAAGAATGGTTGGGTAGATTGATGGATGGATGGAAGGAAGGGTGGGTGGATGAATGGGTTGGGTAAATGGGAGGATGCATAAATGAATGGATGGTTAAGTGAAAGGGTGGATGGATGAATGGGTGTGACTGAATGGATGGATGGATGGAGTAATGGATGGACAGAGGGATAGGAAAAAGGAGAGAGGGATGATGTATGTATTGTGTAATTTTATAATTTTGGATTAGTTCGAAGTAAGTTCAAAAAAAAAAAAAAAACCAGTCACGATGCTTTTTGATTTATTTTTTTACGAAATTGGCTTTTACGATAAAACCTGATTTAACTCGCTGACTTTTCTTATTTCTTTACCCACCATTGTCTTTACTTTTCTTATTGTCCCTGCTTTCACTTTTCAGTGCATTTTAAATTAATGAGAAAGTATTTTTTTGGATCACAGAAACTTGTCCAAGAGATTGATTCCAAAGAACACGAAGATGATCATGATAATGAAATGGAGATCACGTGGGAGCCAGGCTTGAAGGAATCTGCTTTGGACCTCGTGGCGAAGAAAAGAGCGGAGAAAGAGGAGAAAAATCTAACAGCATGGGAAAAATACCTCAACAATAAGAAGGAGAAAAGAAAAGAGAGACGCAAGAAGGAACTACTGAAGTAAGACACAGATTATTGAATTTTTTTGTCTTTTTTCCCTAAAGAATTGCTCTTTTTTCGACGTGAATATTTTTCTGCAGTTCAATATTTTCATATTTTATTTTTACTGGATAAAGAGACAAGTGAAAGTCCTATGAAAAAAAAGAAGAGGAAAAAAATAAAATAAAATAAAACGAGAACAAACTCACAAATAAAAGATTTAAAAAACAAAAAAATTCTCAGCCGTCTTTCATTAATGCTAGGAATGAAGTCTCGCAAGAAGAAGATGAAGACGACACTCCAGAAGGTGTGGATATGTCAGACCCGTTCTTTAACCAGGACTTTGGACCAGACTTCCCTATTAATAACAATGAACGAGTCAAAACTAAAGCTGGGGCAAAAAGGAAAAGAAAGAAACAAACCACAGAAACTGAGGAAGATAAGAAACGAAAGGTATTTCATCTGTTTAACTTAGATTTTTTGATTTCATGTGAGTGTGAAAAGCATGTAGCGTGACCGTGCAAACGAAGACGATGGGAACTTTTGCCCATGAACGTCCTTAATTAACTTTCTATGTTGCTGATAATCTACCTATGTAGTAGTTATAGTGTGAGTGGACAAAGAGTACAAGGTTTGTCTTGTGTTATCTCTCCAGGAGGAGCTCGAGTTGCTACTGATGGACGGGAAGGAAGAACCACAGCATTTTAGCTTGAAAGGAATCTTAGAAAACGAGAAAAAGAAAAAGAAACGAAAGAAAAGACGAAAAGAACAACAGACCGCAGAAGATCATTTCAAAGTCAATGTTGAAGATCCTCGTTTTTCTGCTCTTTTCTCGTCTCATCTTTATGCAATCGATCCTTCAGATCCACAGTTCAAGTAAGTTGCTGTGTCTTGTATCGTATTAATTATTGTTCTCCTTTTACGAAGGAAGCACCTCATAGCTCCATAGCTAACTAACCTGTTGACCTCATTCAGTGACAGCTTAATTTAGACTGTTAACAGAAAAACTCGACTCGTCTGAGTAAACAGGGAAAAGAGGGACTCTTAACAGTCTAACTTGGAAGTGTCGATATCCAAAGATAGTTTTTTTAAATAATTTTTGTTTTGATGGGAGTAACACCCCCCCCCCCCCCCCGGCTTAAGATAGACGTTTGTTCAATATCACACCGTTTATGAATGTCTTCGTCATTAACAACTTGGGATTTGTTCATCGTACAGAAAAACCAAGGCTATGGATACCATTTTTGACGAGCGACAACGAAGAAGACAAGAGAAAAAACAAGTTACTGAAGAATTAACTCAGAATAATAAGGCATCCAAATACACCGAAGGTAACTCTATTCTTTCCTTCCCTTCCCTTCCCACTCCGTCTGTTTTTCATTCATTCATTTCAAGTTTTTCCCTTTCGTTTGATTTTAGCCCCATTCCACACAGGCGTTTCCATTTCAGACCCCGAATCACGAATCTTGGGAATGAGATTCTTTGAGCCTCAACCAAGTTAATGTTAACCTGAGTTTCAGGCCCAAGGGTCCTCTCCTCTCCTCTCCTTCCCTTGGGCATAAAGCTTAGGTCATATTAATCACATTATTTTTTCTATCCTATTAAATTCCCAAAATATTCTGCTCCACAGGTGAAAAAACTAATATCGATCCAAGGTAAGCCTTACTCATACCTCTTTCTACGGCTTGTGGTACCGTGTACGTGCTGTAAGTCAGTACCGTATGTTTCCCACTCTTACGTATACCAAAACCGCTGTACGCATGTCGTACCGTGTACGTGCTGTAAGTCAGTACCGTATGTTTTCCACTCATACCAAAACCGCATGTCGTACTATGTACGTGCTGTTAATCAGTACTGTATGTTATATGTTTCCCTTATAGTACTTGAGGTTCTGGAAAAAAGAATAATATGAATTTTGTTGTTTCCTGTTTCAGTTTGTCTCTGCTCGTTAAGTCAGTCAAGTCGAAGACAGGAGAATTCAACCAGCGAAGAAAGAAACAAAAAACTGTATAACTAAATAGTTCACGTTTTTATTACTTAAACATAACTTAGGATATTTCTTAAATATCTACATTGCAATTAAAAAAAAAATTATATTATTATGAATTTTGACCTCCAGGTTTTTTTTGTTGCGATAACTTTTAAAATGCTGGGAAGCATTTATGAAATCCCTCAGAAAAATCCTCGAATCAAGGGAAAGACCCAACAAACTCAGCCCACACGTGATGCCGAGTCCAGGAATAAAATACGAGACCCAGAGGTGAGAGGCGGAGGAACACCACCACACCCTTGTCGCTTCTTGAKGATAAAAGAGATAAGCGAAGGGTGTAGAATTAACGAGTTTAATAAATAGAATTTATTGGTCAGATTTGCCCATCCGAATATCCACAACGGGACCCCACTCACTTAAATTTTTTTTTTTTTTTTTTTTTGGAAGTTCTAGAACTCAGATCCATCTTTAAGATAGATTCTCCCGAATAGTCTCCTTCTCAGTTCCTTGCGCCATCTTGACAAGTAGCCGTGCCTTTGCATCGAAGGGAGACGAACGATGAGCTTGCAATGATAGAGACCTGTGAATAATTGCCCAAGGTGTTAAAAAAGGTTTCTATCATTGCAAGCTCACCGTTCGTCTCCCTTCGATGCAAAGGCATGGCTACCTTTCAAGATGGCGCAGGCAACTGTGAAGGAGACTATTCGCTTAGATGGCCCAAGAAACTGCGGGTTGAAGTTGAGACTAAACTTGATTGTTTAATTCATCAAGTTCAACCTCGACGCGAATTCGGGAAAGGTCTAATTGGCTAATTTTCTGACCATTTTACGAGGTATTAAAGTCTGGAGATAAGTCAGATGTAAGCCAATCTTCCTTTGAAAAATTCAATATTCTCCATATTTAACAATTCTATATTTCAGTGTATATTGAGTTTATTCTCAATTTCTTTCTCATTTGATTGATACACTTCTATTGTCGGTGGTTTGATGGTAGATCATTAAACCCACCACCAAATAGCTTCCAAGCGAAGCTTTTCGTTGTCGTCATACGACACGCCTACTTTCTTTGTGGTCATTGAGATAGACAAGTGTAATTGTCTATAGTCGGTGATTGGCTGGCACCAAATATCTTACAAACAAGACTTGTTCCTGTCGTCTTCAGATGACACGCCCACTTTCTTTGTGGCCAATGAGATTGACAAGTGTAATTGTCTCTAGCCGGTGATTGGCTAGCTGGTAGATCATTAAGCCCACCACCAAATGGCTTCCAAACAAGACTTGTCACTGTCGTCATCAGAGGACACGCCTACTTTCTTAGTGGCCAATGAGAGATAAGAACACAGACCTGCGCCCAATACCAATGCTGCCACAGCTGCAGCGGCAAATATGAATGGAAGAAGAACAACACAGAGGACGATGTAGAAGATTGCCATCGGTAAAATAAGACACATGCCTAGGATCAAACAATGATGGCTCTTTAGGATCGTACAACACAGCAAATTCGTTGGTATGAGAAACATCTTGGAGCACTAAAAGCTAGTGCAATGCATTAAGGCTTCTGAATCAATCATAGCAGGTGAAAACGCAAATTATTTGATAAAACAGGCTGTAAGAAAAAGCATGGCGGATGATGGGATTTGGTACTTCATGTAAAGGCTGGTTTTCACTAGCGACATAAGCGACGGAAGCATAAGCATGAGCATAAGTATAAGATCATTATGTTCTTCTGAAAATGAATGTGACGGAAGCTATAAGAAAAACAATAGGAAGCCATTGTTTATGCAAGAATCCAATGTGTGCAGGGGACTGTGTACGAGAATTTGATTGGCTTACCACCTTGTGCTTCTGTATGTTGGCGACGGAAGCATAAGAATCTGGTTTTCACTAGCGACGTAAGGACGTACGGAAGCAGAAGCATAAGAAAAAGGAAACCTTCCGCTTATAGTTCCGTCGATGTTCTGCTTCTGCTTACGTCTCCGTTTTTTGATTTTCACAGGAACATAAGACGTCTTACGCTTCTGCTTCTGCTTCCGTTTCTGCTTCCGTCGCTAGTGAAAACCAGGCTTTTAAGACTTCATGAAGTGGCACTATTAGATTATTATTGATTATAATGTCCTGAAGTAGTAAGGTGGGATTGAAATGATTAAGGCGGCGAAAACACACGGTACTAGCTTTGCGCCCGAGCGTCACTTACAGCGGCTGGGAATATATAGGAACCCTGCACAAGGAAGAATGGCAATGTTTTGAATTTTCAAACTCTTATAGATAAGAGAGTTTTAAATTGGAAGGAATCACCTACCTTTTCCTTTCAAACTGTACCATTTGAATTCCTGATTTACACCACAAAAAAACTTCAAGACCCAAGACCACTTGGTCCTGTTGTCTCTATTGTAATGATCCTTCTTCTCGCTTCTTCCATAATCCCTCCAAGCATTCTTCTCGAGGTGTGACACCTTGGACGTTGTACTGGCTCTTAATTGCTTCCGTTTCACGTCGGTCAAGTCGATGGAGTCGTTTTTCTCTCTTCGAACTTTTTTGCTATCTTCAGATTTGTTCTTCGATGGACTCTGGTGCTTTTCATTCGACTTGTCACTGGTTTAAAAGGAATTTATGTACTGTTTGTATAACCCTTTTCGCATGTACGTGATTATTTTCCCATTTCAGACCACGTGCAGTTATTCTCTAGAGTATTATTTCTTTGTTTAACTGTTGTGCCCGAAAAGACATACAGACATAGATACAACTCCAAGAATTTTACTCGTAAGAGAATGACATGTGGTCTCAAATGGGAAAGAGTAGAGTATTATTTCTTTGTTTAACTGTTTTGCACGAGAAGACATACGGATATAGATACAATTCAAAGATTTTTYTCTCTCAAGAGAATGACGTGGTCTGAAATGGGAAAACATCAAACCTATGCAAAAAGAGTCTATTTACTCATCGAGATCAGTCGRTCAATAGAGTTTACTCCATTAATAGGTATCGCTGACCTAAGTAATACCGCAAACGCCGGTGCTTTTGTTAAGCATACCCAACAGGTATTAAAATGTTTGAATAAGAATATAAGGGCTTTTAGAAATTTCAAATTCAAATTAAAGGCTTAATTGACTTCCGACGTCTTGTAGAGAGAAATTTCTCGTCGCTTCGGAATTTGACCACAGGCTGAACCCAAGCTCGCAGTATTATGTATGGAGAGAGAAATGATTGTAAAAATTGTTAAAAAGGGCTGACATTTAGTCCACACACGAAGGACAAATATCAAGACCTTGTAAAGCCCCGTTTACACTGGACATTTTTGTGGCAATTTTCGGAAATATGAAATCTTTTGTCTCATTCTTCAAAAGAGATACTTCGTCTAGGAAAATCTTGGTATCCTGAAAAAAACTTTACAAGTAAATTTTTTACCATTATTTATTATGGACAAAATCGCAAAAAAATAAATAATCGCAGCAAAAATCGCCGCAAAAATCGCTAGTGTAAACGGGGCTTAAAAGTCGTTTGAAAATATCTTGAAAAGTTAAAAAAAAAAAAAAAAAAAAAACTGTGCGCTCGCTGTCTAGGCGGCGATTCCCATACATTTTTAATTAGATTACATTTTAGAAGGTAGTTTTCTTTAAATTTGCTCCTAAGTAGAATGTAAAAATAAATAATAAAAAAATAAATAAAATTTCACCAACAACGTCACAAAATTCCAGTCTTTTATGGAGCGACGTAAATCAAGCTAGTTTTCTATTGTTTTCAGTTTTTTCTTGCTATCTACTAACCCTAAACCTAACATTTTACAAGTTAAAACTAATTCAATTTTCATGAATACGTTTTTTCTCTACTGCTACTATAGAGAGATCTTTACTTCGCCCGTGAAACAAAGTTRTTCTGTACTTGGGGGCTGACAGAAGTCCAAGTAAAAAAAAGAAAACAATGGAATTCATGTACTGTGAATTACGTTGACCATTCTTTCACGAGCGAAGGAAAATCACTCAAGTGTACCTACTTGGATCGTTGGATGCAGATTTTCGTGTACGACTCAATGGTTATTCGTCGAGGAGGAGGCGGCGTTGCCCTGCTCAAAAATCATCGTAAGAAAAAGATGTTAACAATACTGAACCAATTTTTGAATGAAAATCTCCTGTGATATGAATACTTTCAGAGAAAAAAACTATATTTTAAAAATAGGCTAGGTGTGTGTGTGTGTGTGTGTGTGTGTGTGTGTGTGTGTGTGTGTGTGTGTGAGGAGTTACATTATTTTATTGATTGATTGGTGGGAACACCTAAAATAGCTCTTAAAGCCCACAGGACCCCAGGGGTACTCCGTTTATGTTGTACGAGAAACCTCCTTTAGGATCGTATCCCGTTGTGGCTTTGCAACATTGATGGAAAATACTGATGAAATATGGCTGGCCATAAACACACTAGTCTGATTCCTCTAAGAGGAAGTTTATGTTTCAACTAACAATAATATAATAAAAAGGCATACATGTACATTTTTAGTAATTTTACGTGATGAAACTGGGAGTCGTTGCAGAGTCTGCTACAGCATACGGCACATTCATACTAGTATGTCGACGTTTTGAAATATCTGATCATAAAGTAGCTTAAACTTTATATTTCTACACTAAGTGTCGAGTTTTTCTCAGACCTGTTGCTTTTCCCGTACAGGAGAACAGAAAATAAGAACTTAACATTCGATCAGTAAGTACTATCTGACCCATGTCACCAGCGAAACTGGATGACTTAAAATGATATAGAAACACGAATAATAGATTTCAAATCGGATATGAGTAAAGATAATAAAGTAAAAAGTTTGATTCACATGTCTTTTCAAATGCACGTCTTATGCACGCAACTTACATATCTGGTAAAGAACAATCCTTGTCCAGAGGCAAGGTATCAAAACCGTCTTCATCATGGCTTTGTGTTGAAGTCGTCTCGAGTAAATATTCATCAAAATACCCCTCCAAGTTCTCCAAGTCTATAAGCTCCGTCATACGCCGAACAGCGCTGTGCACGGGGCCAGCATTGAATGATGTCATTGTTCCAACATCCTAAAATGTACAGTGAGGAAAAAATTCTATCTGCAAGTTGGAAAACTATTACGTGTAATGGCACGTTTGTGGGGACAATCGAAAACTGCCAATGAGTTCATAAATGGAATTAGGTCTAGACAAATCATTTAGTTATTCTGAGTATAATGTTATGACAGCTTCAACAAACAGTGTCAAAGGAATCCATTAAATTAATAATACTTTTTCTTCGTCCTCGCTAGCTCAATATCATTCTCAAAGTTATTGCCAAATTGGATTCGCGTAAAACGTAATTCGTTAACGTTTGATTGTGCATCAATATTTTAGATTAGTCAATCAAAGTCCATTAACTCTTATGGGCTTTTTACCGTTGTATATCGTGCAACAAGGTGACGATATGGTATTAGCTCCTACTCTACAGCAAGCTTTTAAGCTTTTGAGCTTTTTTGAGAGATAAAATCTGTCTGAATCGTTTCAGTGACCTCAACACTTAAGAAACGTTAACGTTAATTCAGTATAAATATGGTTTCATTCAAATCCTAGACCGACTTTTCGCTTGACGTTTCAGACCCTTTCAGACTTGAAACTCTTAGGTGTTGACTTAGTAATTGACTAATTCATGCAAAGTTTGAACTAACAAACCGTAGATTTTCATCATTAAATTCGAAATTACACTGAATAAAAACTGTTGAAAGATTCGCTTACCTTCGCATTTTGGTCATTGTAGTACGTCAAGTCAATATAAGAGCTTTTGTTGGACATGTAAGAACGTTAACGGACAAAAAATACTATAAGTTCTTACTAGTAGCCTCAGAATTGTGCCTCATGATATGACGTTTTCAATGTTTTCAACCGACAAAAAAATGTCCAAAAGCTTATCTTCGATTCATTCAGAGCTCCTCTCAATCCCCATTCACTATGCAGCTTCTATCTTTAATTAACTTAACAGGTGCTTACGGTTCTTATCTTGATTCATGTTGATTCATCAGTATTGCAACAGTATTGCAGAATTCCAGTAGCTCTAATAACCGTTTCTATGACAACTAAGGTGACATTATCTCGAAGGTGGCAGGGGCAGGCCGAAGTGGGGGAATGTGTTCGCAGCGGCCTTTACGTTATTTACCTTTTATAGTGTCGAAGTTTGCTCCATTTGATGGTCTTGCTTGGTAGCACACTCCATGATATCTCACAAGCAGCCACAATGTGTGTGAACTTGTAAAATACTAAGTGGATACGTATACGTCATTGGCTCAATAAATCATCCTTATTGGCCTACTTTTCGGTTGAATATTGAGCTTAATATCGACGTGTCCACCACTTGCCCACAAACAAAGTTTGTTTGATAACTGTGTTTCTCAAAAAATGTCAACATTTTCACGGGGTATATGTTGACTGAGACTAACTGAGGTCTCGTTGAATCAAGGGTGCAGGCGCAGCGGTCCACTACTGGCCGGTGTGGGGTTCGATTTCTGCGGGGCTTAGCATCACATGCGTATCGGATTAGAGCATGTTACTGGTCTCTCCCTTGAGTCGAGAGTGTTTCTCCACGTTACACCGCGGTTCTCCTTCCTCCGTAAAACCTAACCAGCTAAAATTATGATTTCAGCCTTTGACGGAGTTAGCCGTCCTTTGATCAGGAGCAGTCTGGATAAAAGTTGTTGGTTTCAGTGTATCGATTAGTATAATTTTTTTTGAAACTGCTCAATTTGAGCTTATTTTGAATTCATGTTATACAAGCCTATATATATAACACTGTTCAGTCAATCCATTGAAGGTAAAACAGTTAATCAATGTCAGACAATCATTTATTGAAAGCTAGAAAACAGATATATTGCATGCTGTATATAAAAGCTGTGCACAAATTATTTATTCACATCGGTCCCATGGAACTCATATATGAGAAATTGGAGGGGCTCCGCAACCAACCACACATACGATGACCATGATCTRAGACACTACATACAGTCAATTCAAAAAATGTTGTCGTCGACCAACTCAAGCCTACGCGACTGGACCGAAAGGAACTGTGGGTAGTAATCATTGAAGCCGAATTGACTCCATAATTTTATCTGACTAGTTATGCTTGGTTTACAGCACGAACCTTCGTAGGCGAGCGGGAAGTGTTGAAGGAGACGTTCATTAATGCCTTCATATTTTCGAAATTGTGAACTGAATCATAACTACTTYGTTTTTCTTTCACTAAACCCAAAGACATGCATTTGATGGATTGTTTCTCGCCATTATTATCTTATAACTAGCGGGAACAATTAATTCAGAACGAATATTTAACCGCTTCATTGATTTTTACCCATATTTCTTTCGGTCCAGTCGCGTAGGCTTGAGCCGGTCGACGACAACGTTTTTTGAATTGACTGTATTCAAAACAACCTCTCAAAAAAACACCATAAAAAAATTAAAACTTCGATTGGTCTGCCTGTGGCTAACACCACGTGACATTAAATGTCAAACTACGAAATACATCCAGGTGGTCTGACGGAAATCCATTAGCCAATCAGATTGCGAATTGCGTTTGCTGAAAAAGAATCAATCCCAATAGACCTTTGCGCGCCTCGAGTTGCAGAAAAACAAGATGTGTGGATCGTAATGATCAAGAATATAGCACATATAAGAATAGCACGTAAATACAACACATTTTTAAATCATAAAAAGGTTTATTGTTATCAAAAATATTAATATATGTTCATACACGTTACTACTAAATAGCAATTTGAGCATATCAAATTTTCAATCATTTTCGAAACAAAAAACTTCGTAAGGTTAACTTTGTTGGCTATACGAATTACAAAATCGTTTAAACACTTACTTAAAATAAGCTTTTCTCGTAAAATTGTACTTGTACATAACTTGAAACATTACTATAGACTTCAAATGTGCAGCTATGACTTCTTTTCACCAATATTTCGCACTACATTTCAAGAGAGTACATATTCAAATCCAACTCAAAACAAAAAGACGTCCTTCACGGCAGTGTTTCGTGCAGGACTCGGTCATGTTAGGGATTGATCCTTTTTCAAGTCAGAAAATCATGCATTGCGCGCTTTCCGAAATCACCTGGATGACGATCACGCCCAGTTCCAAACATTCCACGTGTATGTGATCCCTTGAGCCCCACCCCCTCCCCACAAAAAAGAAAATATACTTGAAGACTACACGTGGAATGTTTGGAATTTGTTTATGTGGACCAATCATACGAGAGTGGGCGTGTATGTCATGAGAAAACTCGGGCCCATTCCATAGCCCGGTGATTTTATTTGTAGTTTTTCAGAAATACACACACAGCTAGTTGTAGAAATCGGCCAGATATCAACATGGGAAGTTGTCCTGAGGATCTCAAAAAAGATGTAAATTGTTCCTTGTGTAATGATAGGCTTACTGAACCCAAGATCTTGAAATGTTTTCACACATTTTGTAAGCCTTGCATTAAGAGACACGCCGAGCTGATCGAAGATTTCAACGTCTTCAAGTGTCCTAAATGTAATTCACTAACTCCTCTGCCAGAACTAGACAGCGTGGATAATCTAAAACCAAGTTTACTGCACTCAAGAATGATGAAGGTATTGGAGTTTGTAGAAAGTGAGAAGGTTTGTTCTGTTTCTGGGAGTCACCGATCAGTATCTTGGCATTGCTTCGACTGTAATCGCTCGTTGTGTGACGAATGTGAGAAGAACCATTCAGAGTTTATCAGAGATCACAAACTTGTATCTCTCGTAGAGATCAAAGAAGAAGACATCGAACTGATGCTGAGCAGAGAAACCAATTGCGTAAAACATGTTGATAACATTGTAGAATTATTCTGCAAAGACTGCCAACAGAATATCTGCATGAAATGTTTGAAATATAATCATGATGAACATTCAACAGTCAACTTGAGTAAGTATACAGCGAAGAATAAAGCTCAGCTTTCTAAACAACTGGAGGAGTTAAAAGAGCTTGAACAAGAAATGAAAAAGCAGGTTGAAGTAATAGAAGAGGAGACAAACGAATCCAAGGCAAATTGTGAAAAAGCTAAGAATTTGGTGAAGGAAAGAGTACGAGAAATGATAGATATGCTGCAAAAGAATGTACAGAAATTGTTCAAACAAATCGATGAGTGTGTTGAGAGAGCCGAGAGAAGACAAGTCAAAGGTCACTCTGTGCTTGATGAAACACGAGGAGCCATTGAATACATGAATCAACTGATAGAAAAAGGCGTTGCAAGTGAAGTGATTGAGAATAAAGACATGAAGAAAACCTGTCACACCTCTGTCGATCGTGTCGTTGGAGTTCAGTCGGACGTGCTGTTCCTTGCTAATGAAGAGCTTACAAAACAAGTGAAATCGGGGCTCGGAGTCTTGAGAAAAGTGGAAAAAACAGATCTCAGAATGTGCAGTATTAATATATATTCTCATCCTATACAGGGAAAGAAAGGGAAACTTATTGTGACAACAAAAACTAAATCTGGAAATCTCAATGATAATCCAAGCGATGTTATCGATGTTAAAATAACCCCCTTGTACAAATTGAAAACTTTCGAGAAGAGTGTTAGAATGGGTAAAGCAGAGGTTGAATTTGTACCTAAATCAGCTGGTCAACTGACAGTAGAGGTTCAAGTCAATGGGAATCATGTACCTAACAGCCCTCTAACGATTACTGTTAAAGCCGCACAACCGCCATTGGTTTCATCGGAGTCGGAAAGGCGAAGGTTTCTTCTTCTTCAAGAACAAATGAAGATATAGAAAACGCACGTACGTGTTCGCTGTTTGCAACTGTAAAAAGTGGGTATTGGCAGAATACGAGACTGACTTGTGAGAAACACGAAGAGTGCTTCTTAACACTTCTCGAGTGTTATGCTAATTCCCAAGCTAGTTAAATTGTTTTAGATACTGATTACTATTGAAGATATTAAACATCCTTTTGAAATATTGTTTGGGCTCCACGTCAGTAAGATGGGGAAGATGTTAGAGTGCACGCACTAAAACCGTGAACATTAAATAGTACTAATTAGTACTATTTCATACAGAATCCTTTGTTTTCTATTGTTTAATTATCACTATTTAGTGCTAAAAATTAGTATTTGTTTCACGGATTTAGTGTGAGCACTCTACATTGAAAGCCAGTATATAACTACACAAAAAGCTACACAGTTTGGTAGGATAACTAGAATTACACAGAGTAATTTTCTTCTAGGCCCTTCTAGATCGAATTAGAATTTAGAAGTAAAATTTTTTTTTTAGCATGCGTTCAGCCGATATGATAAATGCAGGCTAGTTTTTGGAGGGAGGAAAACCAGGGAACCCGGAGAAAAACCTTCGGTGAGCACAGGAGAGAACCAACAAACTTTCCCTGCTAGCAGAGTCTCTCTTCTCTTTCTCTCCCTTCTTTCAGGCGGGGAGGAAGGAGACTCTGCCGATGTAGAGCGTTTCCTTCGTTAAACGGCCATCCACGATCGTGGATGACCAAAACCAGTTTTTTTAAACCGGTTTTTAACCGATTACATGTAGTGCGCATGAGCAAATGTAACACACCTTGGCGCCAAACATTGTTTGACGAGAGCGGCTGTCAAAATCATGAAAGCGTTGCTAAGTTACGTCACGCATGCGCGACAGAAATAACGTCCTACATCGGAAGTCTATTTTTCTTTCTTAACAGGGGCGGATCCAGGATGTTTTCAAAGTGGGAGGGGGGGGGGGGTTGTAGCATTGATTGAGGTACTTGTTTGGCGGAAAAGTAGCACAGGGTTCCCAAACGGAAGCAGGTCTTATGATAATGATTATTTGCTGCAGGCGAGCATGGTTGTTTCAGGTCCCACACACGGTGTATAAAAAAAAAAAAAAAAAGCGAGCGAAACGTGTTCGACACCCTTGTTTTAATAAAACTCGCGATGCTGTTGGTGTTGTCATGAAAAAAAAAATCACGATGGCTCTCATAGGGGGGTTGCAACCCCCAAAACCCCCACCTAGATCCACCACTGCGCACCCAAAACAAAAGGAAAGTAGCCGGCTCTGCTAGCAGAGAACAAACAAACTCTACCAAGAGTTCAGACCATGGGAACCAGTAGGTCACGAAATGGTGTAGTAATAGATCTTGGACGTAAGGTTTTCCTATTTCAAACCAAGTGTCACAATCGCTTGAGTATCATTGGCAGTCTTTGTTTAACGGTTGCGATTAAGAAGACACATGAATATGGATGCCACTCAAACAAAGAAATACAAGGAAATGACAAGTGGGAACAAAATGGAAATCATTATGCCCAAGCTAAAACGGTCTATATCAATTATTAATTTATTATTAATTGAGATCTTTATTAATATTAATATTGCTCAACTGCCTGCAAACAAAACGGATTTTTGAGAACTGCTGAAAATCCCCCGTCTCCTCCCTGGTTAGGGCTCGTTTTAACTTTCCTCATCTTTAATTGAACGAGTCAAGTAATAAAAGCATATACCTACTATGACGCCATTCCAGGAACTTTCTCGTTTTAAATCTTGAACTCATCAGCGAACTCATCACTTCTTGTGAAGATGGGTTCCGACGCCACACTCTCTCTCGTGCGGATTTTTTWAAATGTCTTATTGATTTTGAAAAAATTAATCCCTGTGAGGAATACTATACACTTAAGGACGGGCCTACTAATTGTGAACCATTTTTATTTTTTTCAAATTGTGCTAGTCATTTAAATCACCCAAGAGGCCAAGAGGTTTTTTTTGACAGCGTTCCATGTATTCGTTCAGTTCGCTCGTTTTTACCGTAAAATAGACGAACTTCGACGCATTCTGACGGCTTAACGAAGTCGGGGACACCCATTTTTTATTAGCTTGTTTTACTTCTAGTATTATTTAGTTTCACCGTGCAAAATAAAAAATAAAAAAATCTGTTAATGCATGGGAACGTTTGCCCATGAACGTCCTTGAAAATGTCTGGTCGCGAGGGAAATAGTTTTGTTTTCCCCATTCTGTCAGATATTTCCCAAGGCGAAGGAGGCCGAGGGAAACATCATTCAGACTCGAAGGAAAAGAAAACTAACTAATTTCCTGAGGGACCAGACATTAAATCTATATTAATTTATTTGACTCGGTTGATTAAGAGATACACTCGGCATGAAAAAAGAGTTGTAGCGTCATGGATATTTTTTGTAAAATACATTAGGCTAATCGTCACAAATAAAAAGCACGACGAAGCTAAGTGCTTCGAAATTAATCACGTATGCTTTATCCCTTAATCGTGGTTGTTTTAATTAACGGTCAGCATGTGGTCAGATATATTCCATGGCCCTCAGCGCTTCCTTAAAAAGCAGACGGAAAGACCGGCGGCTGAGAAAAAGAGCTAGACAGAGTTTTCGAGAAAATAAGAGATGAAAAAGACATAGTAGACAGAGGGTTTATCAAATATAGAAGCAAAAGTTCGTGGATAAAAAGGATGAGACATAAAAGACGTATTCCCTTTATTCACCATTTTCCATACATCGGTTCACTGGTCAAACACAAAGCATTCAGTCAAGGTTGCACCTTCGCGCCTCGCTTGAGCGCTTTGTGTTTGACCAGTGAACCAATGTATAGAAAATGGTGAATTAAAATGAGAGTTAGAAAGAGCCTCACCAAGACAAAGATATAACGCTGGAAAGAAAAAAGAAAAAAACCCGCAAAACTCGGAGATGGTATTCTTTCTATTCCTAACGGGGTAAGTCTTTGTGCACACTATACCGGATAGCAATCGTTTCGGCTCAAAAAGTATACCGGATGGGCCTTCTGTTACACATGGAGCGCTTGTTTTTGGAGTGATTTTCGTATTGGATAGATGTTGCTCCGCAGCTCCGGTTTCAAAAGTGATAGGTTTTTGTGCCGATTAAAGTGCAGTATGAACAGCACGATCCGGTTCGTAGCCTGAAGTTTAAGTGGTTTGAGTAAAGAGAGGGAGTTGAAAAATATCCGCTGTCGACAAAATGCTGGCTCATGCTCCGTTTCACGCCTGTTCACATTAGGACCGGGAATACCATGTGCCGTCTTAAAAAGCTATTTCGAAGAATTACTAAAAGTCACTTGCGTGGGCATTTACATAATGACWGTGATTTAATACCACGAGCGAGTAACACAAGCTAAGAACCTCTGGGCTAGTACCTCTGTGATTGAGAAGCGTGTTGCAAATCAATAAGTCAATAAGATACTCGAAAAAAATAATTACACATATACGTTTACATTGGATACGTAGTTAGCGTACGTCATTTCGATTCTGCTGTAAAATATGCATGTTACATTAAGTTACGTACCTTCATAGGGGGTCGAAGAAGGTCCCGTGCGCACTATATTCGAGAAATCAGCTTTAGGTGTCGTTTCATGATCGAAAAATACTATGAACAAATTTCAAAATTTTAGCCTTCGCACATAGAGCGATATCTTTCCACAGTTTAAAGACCTCTTTCCTTATTTCCCGGTGTCTTATTCCATATAATAGACAATTAGCAATGGACTGTGCTCCGGCCATTGTTCGAAAAACGGGAAACGAAGCTCTTGGCGGTTCTGAGCCTAAGGAATCAGAAAAAGCAAACCAAGACCAAATGATATACGTCGGCCCGCAAAATGCAATATAAACGCAAAACAAGAGAATCAAAATGGAAAACGCCTTTTTGGAATTTTCACGGAGTTTTTTCGAGTTTTCGAAAGCAAGTTTAACATGTTGGCTGAGTATCTGGTTAGTGCCATCAGTATCATTTGTATAGCTTTGCAATTCGAATACGTTTTCCCTTGATTCTGGTTCGCCATTGCCTGCTTTTTCAATGTCAAATGTTTGTTTGGATTTTCTTGCAAGAAAGGATGACTTTCTAACGACAAACGCTGATGGCGTTGAAGTCATAACTGGCTCAATKATTTGTTGAATGTTAGGCAAAACATCTAGGATGGAAACATGTACAGGCTTCTCACTATCAACATTGCCTTGGTGTCTTTTCAAACACCTGTCTAAATTGACTTTGGCTTTGCATGAATTCGATTTCTCTTCTTCCAAGTTTTCCGGGGATTGTGGTTGGCCTGGTTGTTGTTTCTCTGTCTCTGCCACTGCCACTGCCTCTGCCTCTGCCGGTTCCAGGTTTACATTTACGACTTCACCTTTTGCTTGATTTGACTTTTGGCTGACTGTTTTTCGAGAATTTCGCATTGCAACCACGATTCCTACAAGAAAATAGCAGCAAAGAGCCGTGGGAAGGCAAAAGGCCAAGACCAACACTGTTGTATAATTAAGCTTATGCTTGGCAGGGTTGAGAGCGCACCAACACTGACCTTTGATCTGTTCATATTCTCCCCATCCCAGAAAAGGAGTTACCGAAAGTACCAGACTCAAAAACCACAAAAAACCGCAAGCGACATTGATTGTTGATGATTTGACGTGGACACGATAGCTAAAAGGCTTTGTGATGCTGTAAAATCTGCAACCTGACATCGCTGTTAAGATAAAGATTGAAGAGATTGTAGTAAACCGGTTGGAAAAAGCCGTTCCTTTACAAACTGCTGTGGTAAATGCATGTTGTTGGTATTCCGCTGACATCGACAAGAAAGGCGCAGCGGTAATAAAAACCATCAAATCTGCAGATGCCAAATGAACCACCAGTAGTTGAAACCCGCTCAGGCTTGCGACTTTACGTCGAAGAAGTGCAGCAACTACTGAAACGTTCAAAACAATTCCCGAAATTATGAGAGTTAGGGAAATTGATAGCTTAGCTGCTTGAAGGTTGGCTTGGCAGGATTCAGTCGATGTGATATTCATCTTTGGTTTATACTCTGTTACTCAGGAAAATCTCRGGAGAGTTAGGGAAGTTGCTATAGGTTAGCTGTTTTAAGCCTTGGCTTAGCAGGATTCAGTCGATGTTGCTTGGTTAGCATATTCTCATCCTTGTTTTAAGGTTGGCTTAGCAGGATTCAATTCGTAAGACACATTCAACTTTGGTTTATGCTATATTACTAAGACAATCTAGACGACTTTTTAGATACAAATGAAGAAACCGCACGGACGCCAACTGAGTTTTAAAAGGTTTTTCGTTTCCGTATCGGTTCTCTTGTGCATCGCAACGTGAAGTCATGCACAGATTGGCCGAGAAAGAATACTCCGTTCATTCATTTGCGTTTGAGAAATCCGAAATCTTTGCTCGATCCTTCCGGTAATTCTATTCTCTGCGCAAAAAATAATATTGTTTCAAATGCAGCCCCACCGTATGGAAGTATCAGAGTTAGGTCCAACTTACGTCACTACGACCAGGGGCCGAGGGGGGGG